TAGCAGGCAGGCCCACAATAATTTATTTTATATTGCTTGTTACCACTAAATGGCTAATAGAATGATCAAAACTGTTTCAGTAGAAGAAAAATTTGTGAAAATTGTTGTATCTCACCAAGAAGACTTAAGTCTTTGTCTGAGTTTACTAAGCTCTTTTACAAGGTAAGCCTTCTGTGTTAATGCTTTTGTTAGTTGAGATTGATTGGTTGATTTCTATGTGATATCCTATCCAAACTGGGATGTTAGTGTTGTAGAGTTTGGAGATGTTGCTCCAGAAAGTCCAGAATATTTCATTGGACAGTCTGGACAGAGGCATGGTGGCAACTTTAAGGTGTGGGAGCAGGTACCTGGGCTTTGTTAGGGATGGACCTAGCCTGCCTGCCTCCAGAGATCATCTGGGACATCTCAGCAGGGACCAGAAAACATTTTTCTGAAAATAACTAAATAGTAAATACTTAGGCCATAAAGTCAGATCTCTATTAAAATACCGAAAAGAACAAAAATATAAGAAAGTCTTCTAAAATTGTTTTGAAAAGATATATAGAAAGATTAGAAGACAAAAGTTCTTTTTTATTTCTTTTTGGGTCACACCCAGGGGTTACTCCTGGCTCATGCACTCAGGAATTACTCCTGGTGATATTTGGGGAACCACATGGGATTCTGGGAATCAAAGGCAATTTCTATTGCTCAAGCCCTGGACAAAAGTACTTTTAAGGAACTTAAATAAGACAAATTTTTATGAGAGAGAGAGAAAGAGAGAGAGAGAGAGAGAGAGAGAGAATGAGAATTAGAAGCATACATATTGTAAAGCTGGAGAGGTAGTATCACATCCTTGTGATGTAAGGTTTTCATAGGTCATAAAAAGTTTTTTCTTCCTTCTAAGAGCTAATGGCAATTCAGGTGATTGACATTTGCTTAATGGCCTAATGACAGGTGATTGACAAGGTCAGATTTGCCCTGACAAGCTCCCTCTGCTTGCAGAATCAGCAAAGGCACTGAGGAATGATGGGCTGTGCCAAGTGATGGTGGAGCAAAGGACTTTTAATTAGAGCTGTGGCAATGAACTGGGTCGTGGTTGTTGTGATGTCTTTGGGAAGCATTTTAGGAGGTAAATTCAATAGGAATGAGAAATAGACTGAATATGATACTTCAAAATGTAGAACTATAAAATTTTTAAAATGAGTCTTAATATACCATACTCTACTGAAGGTACAGCAGAAACTGCCACTCAAATATTCTCTATTCTATTTCTCACTCATAGAACAGCAATTTTGATGTGGGTGGCAACATGCTGAAATGAAATTTTAAAAAACCTTGATGTCCAGCCTTCCTTGCTGATAACTAACACTCTGGTAAATATAAGTTGAAGCTGTCAGCTTGGGTTTCTGGATTGATAGACTCACCCAGCACATATTCATTTGCCCTTTGACTTTCTCCTTTTTCTTCCTGAAAGGTCTATAAAAAGGATGGATCTCTAGTGACTTCTTGAAAATATAAAAACAAGTGACCCCTTAAGGATAAGAGATGGTGAATTAAATCCGTCCAGATTTGATGAAGCTAGCATGCTGCCCCAGTCTGCATGTGACAGAGCTTTCTCCAGTGAGAGAAAATTTAAATGCCACCTTGTTAAAAAATTGTTATTTTGAATTTCCTATAACACAAGGTTGGATGAGTCTCTAACTGATACAGAAAACAATCTTTGATATGACAAATGCTGAAGTAATTTAGTCCATTAAAACCATAAACATTAACACTATTGTAACCATGTTACCTAAACTGCAATTTAAAAAATTAAAGTATGAATGCATCTTTTCACCAGACTTGTTCAGTGTGTTTGGATACAAAATAATAATAGAGTATTTTTCTGTTTGTTTTTATTTTTACTTTTTGTTTTTGGGTCACACCCAGTTGTGCTCAGGGTTTACTCCTGGATTTGTGCCCAGGAATCACTCCTGGAGAGCTCAGGGGATCATATAAGATGCCAGGGATCAAACCTGCCACATGCAAGGAAAGTGTCCTACCCACTTACTGTCTCTCTGGTCCAGTAATACAGATCCTTGAAAGTGTCCTAGGTGATTAAAATATCAGTGGCATTGACTTAAGGACATATATTTTGGTTTTTTGTTGTTTTTTTTTTTAATTTTTTATTTTTATTTATTTATTTATTGAATCACCGTGGGAAAGGTTACAAAGCTTTCAGGTTTAGGTCTCAGTCATGCAAATATCAAACACCTTTCCATTTACCAATACTTATTTTTTACCATGAAGAACCCCAATAAAACCCCACCCCCCACCCCTCCCAGTCCCTGTGGGGCAGATGAATTCTAGTTAACACTCTATCTGCTTCGATTAGATTCATTGTTTCAATAAAAGATTCACCACTATTATTTAGAGTTTACCCCCCACCCAAATCAGACATGTTGAAAAAGCATTGTGAAGTGATTTGCTTTCTACAGCTGGGTTCAAGAATTAAATGTTGGTTTTGGATTTCTGCTATTTTACTTATTGACCCTGGAAGTATTTCTACTGAAAGTCAGATAGTTAAGAAATTGGTTTCTGTGCTCTGGAGTCGTGGCCGTGCTGGAGAGCCGCTAGTGGGGGGCAACTGGTGGCCTCGGTAGGGCGTGAAGGACGGACCGGAACGCCCCCCTTCCCATGAGGTTTTAGTCGCCCCCACTCCCCCGGCTCATACCTGCTGTCCACAAGGCTCCCATGTGGCCGCCATCTTTCTTTCCAGAGAGGAGAAGGCGACTGGGGCAACACCCTTTCCCGTCCGGACAGACCTGATGGCCTGGATTAATGCATAGTCCGTTCACTTTTCTGCTCCAAGCTGCTGGGTTCTGCATTAAGTCCTTGTGCTTCTGGGGCCAAGGCCGTGCTGGAGAGCCGCTCGTGGGGGGCAACTGGTGACCTCGGTAGGGCGTGAAGGACGGACCGGAATGCCCCCCTTCCCATGAGGTTTTAGTCGCCCCCACACCCCCGGCTCATACCTGCTGTCCACAAGGCTCCCATGTGGCCGCCATTTTTCTTTCCAGAGGGAGGAGGGCGGAAGGGACCAACACCCTTTCCCCTCCGGGCAGACATGATGGCCTGGATTAACGCATAGTCCTTTCACTTTTCTGCTCCAAGCTGCTGGGTTCTGCATTAAGTCCTTGTGCTTCTGGAGTTGTGGCCGTGCTGGAGAGCCGCTCATGGGGGGCAACTGGTGACCTCGGTAGGGCGTGAAGGGCGGACCGGAACGCCCCCTTTCCCATGAGGTTTTAGTCGCCCCCACTCCCCCAGCTCATACCTGCTGTCCACAAGGCTCCCATGCGGCCGCCATCTTTCTTTCCAGAGAGGAGAAGGCGACTGGGGCAACACCCTTTCCCCTCCGGACAGACCTGATGGCCTGGATTAATGCATAGTCCGTTCACTTTTCTGCTCCAAGCTGCCGGGTTCTGCATTAAGTCCTTGTGCTTCTGGGGCCAAGGCCGTGCTGGAGAGCCGCTCATGGGGGGCAACTGGTGACCTCGGTAGGGCATGAAGGACGGACCGGAATGCCCCCCTTCCCATGAGGTTTTAGTTGCCCCCACTCCCCCGGCTCATGCCTGCTGTCCACAAGTCTCCCATGTGGCCGCCATCTTTCTTTCCAGAGAGGAGAGGGCGAATGGGGCAACACCCTTTCCCCTCCAGCAGACTTGATGGCCTGGATTAATGCATAGTCCGTTCACTTTTCTGCTCCAAGCTGTTGGGTTATGCATTAAGTCCTTGTGTTTCTGGGGCTGTGGCCATGCTCCAAACTTAACTATGATTTTCAGAGAGAAACGTTGGGTGGTTTACTTCCCACGGATCACTTTGTATATAGAGAGACGTCGCGCGGCCGCATAAGCGGCCACGCAATTTTGAGGAAAAGTCCTAGTTCCCGCATACTCGAGCTGTGCTTGTAGAGGCTTCTGGTCACCGGGGTTCCATCTGGGGGAGGCGGGATGCGGTACCTACCCCATCTGGGACTTCCCGATGATCTCGGCTCTTTTTGGAACCTGTTTTTTTTTTTCCTTCGGGATCTGTGGATCCCGCCCTCCATGTTGTCCTTCTCTTCGGCTGAATCAAGGACATATATTTTGGTAGCATTTCCCAGTACAACCTTCATCTCTATCCTCCATCATCTTTTTTTTCATTAAAACTACACAGAAAAAATAATTTCCTAATTTACTCCATAAATGCATCATCAGTAGTATCAAAAATATATTAAGAAAACAATATTCATGCTTGCCTCGAATACAGCTGATCCTAATTTGATCCTCAGCATCACACCGACACCCAGCACAGAGCCAAGATAGTGCCTAAGGATCTCTGGGATACCCCTCCAAAAAATAAAAAGAATGTTCACATTTACCTATCTTACTAAAATCAAGACTAAATTTTTTGGGAAATGTAAGTATTTGACAATGGAAGTGCCCATTTTCACAAATAACAACATTTCAGGATATGAAAGTAGACAATTCAACGTTCACTTGACTGGGGAAAATTCTTGCTTTTTTGATGAGTTCCTATTTCACTAATGAAGAACTTAGAAATCACACTATTAAATGACAGGCTCGGTTTCTGAACTTTGTCTCTATGATTATACAGTGTTTCTAGTCTTCAGCTTTAAAAGAAAATGTTCTGTTGACAGAGTCTTAAGATAATTTCTAATTCTGATTCCTGCTGGGTCTTTGAATTCCTAGGCAGGAGCTGAAGAATGCAAAAATCACCTTATTACTCTCAATAGCTGCCGAGGTCTTAAGGGACTGCACACACAACAGATGAGACTAATAGTGAGGCGTCCTTCCTTGTCTTCTACAGGTGTCCATCCCTACTTTGCTTTGCAGGTAGGTAGAAAAAGAGGCTCTTCGGGCTCAGCCATCAAAACCCTTTATTTCAAGTGAGGAAATACAAGGTTCTTACACAGATGCTGTGCCCAAGTCCACATGAATATATGAGTAGAACTGAACCTGGCACTTTGATTGTCCATCCACATCTCAGGTCCAAGGTGCTTCCAGAAGCACCATGCATTTGAAAGAAGACCCTCTATGCGCCAGCTGTTTGCAAACTCTCCTGCAGGGTGAGAAAGACATAAACACCAGCTCAGTGCACTGCTGACATGTGTCAGGGGCAGCTCTCATGTTTGTGTCAGGGCTGCAGCTGTCTGTGGAACACTGTGCATTCACAGCACAGAAGTAAGTAGCAGCATCTGCAGCCTGGGAAGCGATGATGAACAGGGAGCTGCTCCGGGTAGTGGTGTCAAGCTTGAATTGCAGTCTTCCTTTATCTTTATTTTTCTCGCTTGAATACATTAACACTAGCTGGGTAAGGCCTTTTCCTGGATCTTGCCTATACCATTGTAAATCGGTGATAGAGGTTTCATAACTGCACTTCACTGTGACGTTTTCACCTTCCTGGATACTCAGGACCTGAAGATTCTGCTCCTCATGTTGACTGTTAGCCCCTAAGGCAGAAACACAAGGCCAGAGACCAAGAATCAATCATTGCATTTTTTTTCACTCTCCTTCCATAATTTTCTGGTCTCCTTCCTTAATTTTCTAGTCTTCTTCCATACTTTTCACTCTCCTTTCATTATTTCACTAACAAGAAGACCTTGCCCCTTAGTCTCCTGGGCTCTGCTCCTTGGTCACTGTTCCCATCTCTAAGAGCCCTGACTCACCAGCCAGTTGAAGCCATAGAATCCCCAGAGACACTCCCAGGAATTTCTTCATTCTTCTTTCCTATTGGGACCACAGCTCTGGGGTCTGAAATGCAGCTGTGTTCCTCCAGCTAAGAGTAGGCTCTCTTTGCTGGGTGTTTCTGAGTCTCTGGATCCCTGAGTCTCAGGTTTCTTACCAAACCAATGGGGTCAACCTTAGGCCTTAGTGTTTACCACAGGCAAGGAGATGTCGAACCCAGTGAGAGGAGGCACGACACTGCCACACAGTGGTAGTAGCAGCATCCTGCTAGTTGCACTCTGGGGAGAAACAGCCTATAGAGATAAAAAATGACATAAATAACATTTCCAATTCCCAACCTTTATTGAACTGGCTCAGAGTAAGAAGAGTTGAATTCAGGTAAGAGCTTAGTAAAGAAAGAATGTTGGGTCTGGAGCAATAATTCAGTGTGTAGGGCACTTACCTCACACACAGCTGACCCAGGTTCGATTCCCTGTGCCACATATGGTCACCCCACTAAGAGTGATTCCCCAGGCACAGAGAAGTAAGGCTTGAGCATTGCCTATTGTGGCCCCAAACCAAAAAGTATATAAAATTAAAATACAAATGCCTAGTATTGGTAAATTACCCAAGAGCCTTCTTGAGTTTCTTACAATCACCTCTGCTGATGTATTTATTTATTTATAGTCCCCACCTTATATCTCTCTTCTTATTTGCCTAATGCAATGAGATTATATTTAGGTCATGGTTCTTATCAGTGAGCAACAGAAAAACAATTCTGGTTGAACAAGTAGAAAAGAAAAGAGTTGGTTAATAATTTGGTATGGCTTCAATAGTGTCAGAGAACTGATACTCAAAACAGAACAATGTAAAAAATCTCTCCAGAGAATTTTTTCTTCTAAGTACCCACTATCTCTAGACTCTTGCCTTAATGGACACTGTTGACAGCTACAAATGCATTATTTTACTTACCGCCCTGAGTGGTTGTTGTGTTTTAACAGTGGTTGTTGTAATTACCAGCAATTTTTCTCTTTTTGCCTAAAAAACTCCTTAGTCAAAATTTGGAAGGATGTTTTTGATTTTTATTTTATTTATTTTATTTTTTTGCTTTTTGGGTCACACCCAGGGACACACAGGGGTCACTCCTGGCTCTGCACTCAGGAGTCACCCCTGGTGGTGCTCAGGGACCATATGGGATGCTGGGAATTGAACCCGGGTCGGGCGCATGCAAGACAAATGCCCTACCTGCTGTGCTATTGCTCCAGCCCCTGTTTTTGATTTTTAAGTATATCTTTATAGTCATGGTCCTACTTGTCGTGCTGGGTAGAGTTTATAGAATGATCCCTCATACATAAGGTATAAAAAAATAAAAAACATAGTAAGGCAATAACAAATGGTCAAAGACACAGAACCTAAGAACTGTTCTACAGAATTAAACTCACCATGGGTGGGGTTTGGGGTTGATTGGAAGGAGACCCTAATACAATGATGAAAGTCAGTGATCACATTGGTGGTAGGTGTGGTGTTGGAATACAGTATATATGAAACATATTATTAATAAGACTGTAAATCACAGTGCTTTAAAGAATTAAATAGAATTACAAAAATAAATATTAAAAATAAATTAATATTGACCCTTTCATAAAACTACTTTAATATTATTTTGTGAAACCATAGGATGTACACATAAAGCTTGTCTATAAGATACTAAGTTTGAGATTGCCTTAAAGTACTGGAGCATTGTTTGAGCTAAATTATCTTTTTTTAATAGAACTCCTTTTTTAACTAGGAAACATAATTAACCAGCCATTAGAATTCAGTGTTCAGAAGATTTCTTTAAAATGAATAATATGAACCTGCAATTTATAAAAATACATGCTTCCAAGCAGAAATTAGAATCTAGGGCTATTTTCATCTATTACCATGGGCTTAAGATCTTTCCAATTATTCATGGTTTTTCTAATAAAACTGGTGATGCTACTTAAGCATTGGAAATTTTAAATATTCATTTTGAAATCATTATAGCTTCGTAGAAAGTTGGGGAAAATATTTTAGAGCCCTACAGTTTAACTTCAGATAGCTTGCTGCAATGGAGACGTTTTTATAACTTTTGTTTTGGTTTCTGGAACACACACACTTGGTGGTTCTGGGAGTGGGTAGGAGGGGGCTACTTCCACCTCTGTGTTCAGTGGTTACTCCTAGAGATGCTTGGAAACTATGGAGTGCCAGGAATCCATACAGCATCTTGCACATGCAAGGTACGTGTTCTGTCACTGAGTTATGTCCCATTCTAATAGCAACATTTTATCTAACTGTACTACAATATGAAACCAGTATTTTAACATTGCACAAATACTATTTAATGAGGCTCTAGATCTTATTAAGTATTCACCATTATAGACCTTATTAAGTGTCTCACCATGAAGATTGGGCCACAGCTCAGAATGCCATTCCTGGCTCTGTACATAGAAGTGGTCTCTGGTAGTATTCCAGAGATCATATATGGTGAAGTCAGCCACATGCCAGAACACTTGTACTATCTCTCTGCCCATGTTTTCTCCATTTTTAAATATCTCTCTCCCTCTTTGCCTCCCTCCACACAAACTTCTCTCTCTTGCACACATTCATATTTCTACGTACTTTAATCCTATGTATAGATTCATATACCTACCACCACAAACCAAGCTATGGAAGTGGGAACATGCACAGAAAATTGTCTAGTTTTACCATATAGTAGATAATGCATGGAAAAATAGAATTCAAACTTACAAAATGCAACATATGCCTTATATCAAAGACCACATTGTAATAGTTTGGGATTGGAATAAAGACAGACCTGTGAATCAATGGAATAGAGTTAAGTATCCTGACAAAGACCCTCAAGTACATGATTACTTGATCTTTGATAAAGGAGCAGGAAATATGAAGTAAAGCAATGAAAGCTTCTTCAACAAATGGTGCTGGGGAAACCGGGCAGCTACATCCAAAGAAATGAATTCAGACCTATTTCTAATGCAAGAAACAAAAGTCATATCAAATAGATTAAAGATCTCAATATCAGACTTGAATTCATAAAGTACATGAAGGAAAACATAGTCAGAACCCTCCATGACATTGAAGGTATAGGCATCTTCAAAGATGAAACACCACTGACCAAGCAAGTAGAAGCAAATATAAACAAATGGAAATACATTAAACTAAGAAGCTTCTGCATCTCAAAAGAAATGGTGACCAAGATACAAAAATAGCCCATGAAATGAGAAAAATTATTTACCCAATATCCATCTAATGAGGGGTTAGTAAGCACGATAAGTAAGGCTCTGGTAGAACTTTACACGAAGAAAACATCCAACACCATCAAAAAATGGGGAGAAGAAGTGAAGAGAAAATTCTTCAAAGAAGTACTACACATGGCCAAAGGGCACAAGAAAAAAATGCTCTACACCACTAATCTTCACGGAGATGCCAAGAAAAAAATAACAATGAAATATCATCTCACACCAAAGAGATTGGCACACATCAAAAAGAGTAAGAATAACCAGTATTGGCATAGATACTAAGAGAAAGGGACTCTCATTCATTGTTGGTGGAAAGGTCAATTGTCTAGACATTTTGGAAAACAATATGATAATTCCTCAAAAAACTAGAAATTGAGCTTCTATATGACTCAGCAATATCTCTTCTAGAAATATACTCAGTGGGCCCAAAAACACACGGCAGAAATGATATCTGCACTTCTATGTTCATTGCGGCACTATTCACAATAGTCAATATCTGGAAGCACCTAAGTGTCAGAGGATAGATGACTGGATAAAGAAAATATGGTTCATCCACAAGAAGAAAACATCCAACTCCATCAATAAATGGAGCAATGAAATGAACAGAAACTTTCTCAAAGAAGAAATCAAAATTGCAAAAAAGCACATGAGAAAATGCTGTACATCATTAATCATCAGGGAGATGCAGATCAAAACCACAATGAGATACCATCTCACACCTCAGAGACTGGCCCACATTCAAAAGAACAAAAGCAACCGATGCTGGCTCGGATGTGGTGAGAAAGGGACACTCCTTCACTGTTGGTGGGAATGCCGACTGGTTCAGCCCTTTTGGAAAACAGTATGGACGTTTCTCAAAAAATTAGAAATTGAGCTCCCATTTGACCCAGCAATACCACTCTTGGGAATATATCCCAGAGAGGCAAAAATGTGTAGTCGAAGTGACATCTGCACTTGTTTGTTCATTGCAGCACTCTTTACAATAGCAAGAAACTGGAAGAAACCTGAATGCCCAAGAACAGATGACTGGTTAAAGAAACTTTGGTACATCTACACAATGGAGTACTATGTAGCTGTTAGAAAAGTTGAAGTCATGAAATTTACATACAAGTGGAAAGTATCATGCTAAGCGAAATGAGTCAGAAAGAGAGGGATAGACATAGAAAGATTGCATTCATCTGGGGGATATAAAGTAACAAAATATGAGATTAATACCCAAGAATAGCTGAGATCAGAACCAGGAGGATTACTCCATAGTTTAGAGGCCAGTCACGTATTCTAGGGGAAAGGGCAGCTCAGATAGAGAAGGGAGCACCCAATAAAGGGTGTTTGGAGGATCCTCCCAGGAGTGGAGATGCGTGTTGGGAGTAGACTATGGACTGAACATGTTTGCCACTCAATGCCTCTTTTGCAGACCACAGCACCCAAAGGGAGAGAGAGAACAAAAGGGAATGCCCTGCCACAGAGGCAGGGTGGGATGGGGGGATGAGTGTGGGAGGGATACTGGGATCCATAGTGGTGGAAAATGGGCACTGGTGACGGGATGGGTATTTGATCATTGTATAATCGAAACCCAAGCACAAAAATTTGTAAATCTACAACTGTACCTCATGGTTTTCACTAATAAAAATTAAAAATTTAAAAAAAGAAAAAAGAAAATATGGTTCATCTACACAATGGAATACTACACAGCCACCAGAAAAAACAAAGTCATAAAATTTCCTTATAAATGGATGGACATGGAGAGTATCATGCTGAGTAAAATGAATCGAAAGG